AAACAAAGTGTGCAACAGGAAAGGTAAATATTTTATCATGTATCACAGGCCTGCTCAAGAAGTTTGAAATTTATTTTGCATGGTATTACCATGCCACTGGTGTCGTCTATATCGATATGGCATTAAATCACTGTTTTAGTAACCTTAAATTTTGTCCTATCTAGAAGACAAAAAGAGACAATAACCATTTTTAAAATGCAAATATGAATTCCGTCAATTGCATTTTCAAAATGGGTGACGATAAATAAGACATATAAACATGAATATGTATCACCGTGGCCTTACCTGTGTGGTACCTGTGTTTATCTTGCATTTATAACACGGCGCCGGAATTATTTTTAATTGACGTTTTAATGTAATCATTACGCCGATTACCTCCAGCCACGAGTAACTCCAATACTTCCCATCCAGCAGTGATTATGATTGTTAAAGTGATTGATAATTAGTGTTTTTCCGTCTCGCCTCGGTCTCAAGGATTACAAACATCGTTTTAAGGTAATCTTACACAGTCGCCCTTCTACCCAGCAACTATGCGCAGAGCGAGACCTGTACGCTACTGCAATAGCATTGCTCATGGTCAGCTATCGTAATTTAAAGGTAGCCATCGATCGTTAATCAAAGACCCGAAGACCTACAGTAACGAACCCGTGGAGATCCTGATTAGAACTGATCTTCAGTAACCCATGCTTGTCGTATAAGGCGACTAATGGGATCGGGTGGTCAGGCTCGCTGACTTGGTTGACACATGTCATCGTATCCCAATTTGCGTAGATCCATGTTCATGTTGTTGATCACTTGATCGTGTGATCCAGACTCGATTATTTACAGACCGCCGCCATATAGCTGGAATATTGCGGAGTGCGGCGTAATACTCAACTCACTCACTCACTACAGTAACGAATAACCTACGCCATGGGATTACCTTTCTGCTTCCTTGTCACGATATAGGTTTTCTTTTATACACTAATTAGATATTATGCGAAGAAAGAGTGACGCTTGAGAATAACAACTCGATGTTGGGCTGGCTATCGATATAGATCATACAGATCGATAATCGTTAAAGGTCACATGCAACGTAAAACACAACTTTGCAGATTCTGATACCTTTCGATATGGACTTACCGAAACAAATCGTCAAAAATGCAAATTCAACTTATAAAATTGAAGAATAACGCGATGAAAAAAAACGCGCGAAATCGGAGTTCAAACGTTTCACTAATTTTCCCCCGACTTTTCGGGGGAAAACGGGTTTCAACAGCTGGGCTGCGCGCATAGCACGTGCGCAGTGAAATGGGTTCGCGCAGCTTGGAAGCGGGTTTTCGGGTGAATACTCGGTGAAGGCTTTGGTGTGAGCTATTTTTCTAATGTTTTGTTGATATCTCACAGACGCGAGCTTTATATATGTTATGACAGTAAATTAACTGTTTATATAATTTCTTTTGTCTATTACACCACACGTTCTTCTTACCGAGTCACTTCTCAGTTCGATACTTAAAAGCAATGTCATTAATTAGCGTTGACAGAATTTCTAACTGTGATATAGATATGTCGTTGTCACAGACTAAACTCAATGTCTTGTTTTATTGACACCGGTGTGTCTGCCTGCCTGTCTGCTAATGACAATATTCAATACACAGCTGCTATCACTGACCACATGCAATTTGAACTTAACACCAATCAGGCTATACACCATAAACAAAATGCATTGATTTATGGTCCGAGTTCGGTCTCTGTCACATTATGTAATTACACAGACAGGCAGGTGTGATACTTGAACACATGACATGTTATGATGTCTGTTGATTGCAAAATGTTATACACAAAAAATGAGCATGTATTTACAAAACCCAATATCTCCATATATACACACACAATGAGCCGTGAAGGCATCTGCAAATGAACCAGCCGTTACACTTGAGTGCACACCCACCCGCTCTGACTGGGTTCGGTATCCCGGCTGCTTCGTTTCTTGGGAAGTAAACCCAAGTACACAATAATTTTGTTTATATGTTTTTCATAACCAGCAATGTATATTATATGTCATGAATAAGCGATAATTGTGTTTTAATTATGTTTGATTTTTTGGTTGCATGTGACCTTTAACTAAATAACATGGTTACATGTTTATGCATGGGTTACTAGCAAAACAGAGTCCTGAACATAATTTAGAAGCAGCACATGAACTCTACAAGAATCCCTGCCGAGAACTGAAAAGTATATTATGACGTAATATTCTAATGTGACTAAAGGGTACCTGGGAATGTCGAATATCTACGTATAACTACTGATTGGCAATGTTTGATCTCACTGATCCTTGTAACCAGTGTCGTATAATCTCACGTCAGTATCTCAAAGGATGCAAGTCTTAACTCTTGGTATTCTGGAGTGAGTGAGTGAGTGGGTGAGGTGAGTGAGTGAGTGAGAGTGAATGTCTCGAAGGGGTGATGTTTTAATACTTGGTGTTCTGGAGTGAGTGAGTAATGAGTGAGCGAGTAAGTGAATGCCTCAAGGGGATGACAAGCTTAATTCGTGGTGTTCTGGAGTGAGGGAGTGAGTGGGTGAGGTGAGTGAGTGAGTGAGAGTGAATGTCTCGAAGGGATGATGTTTTAATTCTTGGTGTTCTGGAGTGAGTGAGTAATGAGTGAGTGAGTAAGTGAATGCCTCAAAGGGATGACAATCTTAATTCTTGGTGTTCTGGAGTAATGAGTGAGTGAGTGAGTGAATGTCTCAAGGGGATGGATGGATGTCTTAATTCTTGGTGTTCTGGAGTGAGTGATTGACCCCAGAGACGTCCACTAGTTCAGCCAAGAGCTGAGGCAATCAAAACTTCCCCAATCATTCTCGACTTGAGTTCGACTTGAGTTGGACATTTCATTTTTGTCCCCCGCCGCAACGCGGAACGGGGAACTATGTATTCAGCAGCGTCCGTACGTCCGTCCGTCCGACGACCCGTCCCGATTCTTGTTAACGCGATATGTCATGAACTGAAGTACCCAATGACTTCAAATTTGGCAACAGCCTACTTTAGGGGATTACGCAGACACCAGCCGATTTTGGTGACCTTACCCTTATTTTCAATGTCAAACTATAGCTGGAATATTGTTGAGTGTGACGTTAACAATAAACAAACAAAGATGTAAACAAATGAAATTTCTTAGGACTTAAGCTGAGTTTAACAGGACACTAAAACATAAGGTACAACAGGTAAGGTAAATATTTCATATTGGCCAGAGTCTTAATTTATATTATTGCTAAACGCGGCGAAAAACTAAGCTCGCTCTCTCACTCACTCACTCACTCACTCTCACTCACTCACACTCACTCACTCACTCACTCACTCACTCGAAGCCGCATAACTTTATCGAAAAGGTGAAGTACGTGAATTACGTTTACAAATCATGTATCATAAAAATGGGTTCTTGGATTCAGATTTCGCCATAAATGCATTGCATGGCAAATATGCACAGCGAATTGCAAGTTTAAGCCCATATTATTCAATGTCGGTGATATGCAATATTGAACGTTATTGCAATATGCCACAGTATGGCCTGATATGCCATGACCTTGACAAATGTGACATTGTTAACGTGTCGGTGTAGCTTGGATTGATAGCGACGAAACATATGTTATCGACACATCGGCATGAAAGTAATATATAACATACCTTGCTCGTCGATCGAAACGTTTATCATTTCAATCTTTCGGTTTAAAGGTAAATATTTATTTTAATATTGATGTCTTGGACCGGTTGCAGAGATGGTCATGTTCGGACATATGGTTCCAGGTTTAACACGGGATGTGTTACATGTATGACATTTCGACAACCAATCCACTTTTTGACAGCACCGTTGGGTTTTTTTGTTTTCAGATCCGACATTGCTCAGACAAAGAACACTTGACCCTAACAACCATTGAAGATGGACGTGACGCTGCCATTCCCATTCCAAAACTGACCAATCACATGGCCGGACACAATGTGGCCATTAAGTGGGAACGTTTTTCGACTGACTCTTCATAACATTTCACATCGGAGCTGAGACACATAGAAGATGCACATGGAAATGACAATCAATATTAAGGGAGCTCTTATGCACCAGAAAGCTAATATATCATGTTCACTTAATCACCAAGGAATTGATTGTTCTGCCATTGTGGCATCTGGGCCAGTCTCGCTGACCTGAAGAAAAAATACCAGATCGATCCCTCACATCAGATCCCTGACTTGAGAACACGTTAATACTCAGAGGATGCTATTTTCAGCTGTTGTAGTCAGTTTTGAATTATTATCTCAGTATTTAATAAATATATTTTTCGCTTTCATAACTTACGAGAAATACAGGGCTTCTAATTGTAACAACCTGCATGAAATGATATCCTGACAACCATGTCTCGGAATATCTCATAATAATGAGAGCGCTCATCCGTTAGGTGATATATCATCGTCCAGACAAGATACCTGAATCAGTTTACTAAGAGGCACATCATATCGCAAGCAGTACTAAAACAGTGATACTTAATGTCACCAGCCACAAATGAGCTACCACTACTGGTCAAAGAAGGTTGAACCTGGTCTTTGATATTCAGTTACCTTATATGTAAACCAATATGCGAGTGGCCCGTTGATCTATCAACCACGTTCTCAGTGTCGGCCATGCAAACATCAGCGCTGATCTACAAGAACTTGATATTCAGACCAAAGTTTTGATTGACAGTTATCTAACCTCACCCATAACGATGACAATGTATGAGACTTCCCGTATGCAGGAAATATCAATACAATGATTGCTACTGATCCGTTGGGAATCGGTTCCCTGTTGTCAGAATAACGAGGCCAATCACTTAACTGGCTTAGATTTATCAATATCATATCACGTCACAAATCAAGGGAAATCTTCTGAATCGAACCACTGTAATATCATATGAATACAAATGACGTCGTTTTGCGGCCAATATAAGATGTTTCTTAAGACATATCGTTGTGTCTATCCGCACTGTGACATTTCAAGAACATGCTGTGATTAGTGGTGATAGTTATCGAACGTTGCTGACATTTGGCCCTCAATTTGAAACCAAGCATACATCCCAACGACAATGAACACTACGGCTATCTCCAACGTTACACCAGCACCGTCCGACGACTACACCCAGTACGTTGAATACAAGGCGAGTAGATGGGTGTGGTCCATCTTCCCACCCGTACTAATGATCCTCGGGACTTTTGGTAACGTGTTGTCCATAATCGTTCTCAACAGGAAGTCCATGAGGGACTCCACGGTGTCCATCTATCTCACAGCTTTGTCTGTAATGGACATTTCGGTTCTCTATACTGGTCTTCTGCGCCAATGGCTGCGTGTGGTCATCCACTTGGACATCCGGGTCATCAGCGAGATGTCCTGCAAGATCCACATCTGGGTGGTTTATTTCACCCTCGACATGTCAGTCTGGATTCTCGTTTCCGTCACCGTTGAGAGATTTGTGTCGGTGATGTATCCATACACGGTGAAGAAGTACTACACACGATGTACAGCATTCGTAAACATTGCAGTCATAGCAATCTTGTTGTTGGCGCTCAACTCGCACTACTTGTACGGCCTTGGGGACGTTCAGACGACGGTAGATGGCACTACGAACATCGAACGCTGTGCTCCAGTTAATGAGGGTTACGAACACTTCGAGTTACGTGTCTGGCCATGGATTGACCTGTGTGTGTATTCCTTCATACCACTGACCGTGCTCATTATTGCCAATATTTCCATCGCCCAGAAAGTTGTATCCAGAAAGAGGAATGCTCGGCGAATAAACCCTGAGATGTTGACAACAACATCGAACCACGAACGATATCAAGACAAAAAGACGTCGTCCATGACAAAGATGCTCCTGGTTGTGAATCTGGTGTTCTTTGTGTGTACCGCTCCCGTCAGCGTGTACCTTATTGGGGAAACTTACTGGACGGTGGACACCACACCACACCGCGACGCAGTTTTGTCCCTTATATGGGCTTTTTGTAATGCACTGATGTATACCAACAATTCTGTTAACTTTTTATTGTACTGCATCAGTGGTTCTCGCTTCAGAAACACGTTAAAGGAACTGCTTCAACGTCGAAACAGAATCCGCCCGAGCAATTCCAATGCATCGCTGCGGAATAATCAAAGCGATGCTGGCGCTAGCGGAAACGGAGATGACGTCAACATTCCCGAGGGTGGCAACAGATATTGACCCAGTCAAACTACTCTTCATGTATGAATATAGGAACAACAAAGGAAATGAAAATATGTACACTGACATAACAATTTCTTCACACGGAAGAAAATTTACATATTGTAACATGGAGTCAAGGCTACAATTAGGGCTTCAACGAGTCCATTTTCTTGGACTCGTGTACTCGAGGGGTGAGACTCGACTCGGACCCGAGTACTCGAAATTCATAACTTTCAAACAAACGATAGCGTAACCGGCATGACATGTGTTCCGATCACACAAGTGAACACTTACTTCTTTTCGATTTCATATCGTCGTGTGACTAACATTTCCTATTGGTCAGAATCAGTATTTGGATGTTTACTTGCCAAATGTTTTTTTTTTTATCGTACTGGTTGTACTGCCTGCATAAGGCAGTGATATACCGCACAGGCGGCATTTGGTTATTTTTCTCTTTTCACTATTATCCAGATCAAGACACGCCCATACATTTGATTTTTTATCGTTCTCTATGTCTGTTAAGATAGTAGATAGTAAACGATGTATAATAATTACTCTCATCTACAGACTTGTAACAACTAATACCATACAGCCACACCATGTGAGGAGTAAACTATTTAATCTAGGTGTTAATAAAAACATTATCAGATGGGTAAAAGAATTCAGGGTACATAGAACTCAGTATGTCGGTGTCAATGGCTATCAATCTTCTTTCCTCTGAACCTCTACTGGAGCTCCACAGGACTGTGTTCTTTCATCCGTACTCTTCGTTTTGTATACCAATGACTGTTACTTGTCATTAAATGACTTGTTTACTGTGAAATTCGCAGATGACGCCACTGTTACTGGCCTAATGTCTGATTCTGAACCTTATTATCGTCAAGGCATTGACAAAACCGTAATGACAGTTTTTATCAAACCTTTATTCAAAGTGTGTTGACCTACAATTTTCTATGTTGGTATGGGGTCTGTCTGATCGCAACAAAAACAAACTTTTCAAAATTGTTAATACTGCTGGCAAAATTTCGAGTATATTCCCTTTATCTGTGAGCGCCAGATTGTCAAAAAGGCAACTAAAATTAGATTTGATAGCTAACATATTTTATCTCACCATTTTGAAGTACTTCTTTATTGACGCTGCTGTCGATTACCTTCCCTCAAAACAAACAGAGCTCGACAGTCTTTCATACCATTAAGTATTCGTGAATGCAACAAATATTTTGAATTATCACCATGTAATAATAACTAGAATTATTCAGCCTCTTTACCTATGTGGTTAATTGAATTATATCGTGTCAGTTTTATTGTGTAAATAGCTTTCGTTTTGTGCATGTAATTATTGTGTATTTTTTTGTGAATTGTGTACATATTAATTTTGAGACAGTTTGGGTGAATAAGAATTTCCTCCGGGATAATAAAGTTATATCTTATCTTAATATTAGACTAAACGGCCGCTCATGCTCAGCACATGGCAGACAGTCTGTCAACGTAACCCAACAATTCGAGCTATCTCCCCTTTTCGAGTCCTCGAGCTAAACCCGACTCGTCCTCGATTACTCGAGTACCCGTGGAAGCCCTAGCTACAATGATCTTACTCATTGTGGGATATCGAAGTTTTCTTGGCAATCACAGTATCGCATCGTGCACGTCGATACTCATGGTACGTATTACTGCAACGAAGTGACATTGTACCATGCTTGGAACCATGGCATGTTCGGAGACAACGTCGGTATAATTTCAGGAACCAATTTCTCTTTCTGTCATGTTAACGTGCACTGATTATTTCAAGGTCCCAAATACTTGGTCAAAGATCAAGAAGAACTGTTGAAACCGTGCGTTTGAAAACTCTCCCAGTCAAACGCCACGGTATACACAGATAAAGTATAAAGGACGGTAGATTGAAAAAAGAAATAAAGAATTAGTTGGTGTGCTCTTATGCCGCTTCTGGTAATATTCCTGCAAAGTCATAGCGGGCAACACAAAAATGGGCTTCAAATTGGTCCGAATCAAACCCGGACCTGCGTCATGTAAAGCGGACGTCATAACCACTGGGCTACTCACTGACATATGGAGAGAAAATATACTCATGCCAATAACGGTTGTCACCCCCTTCAATGTTTTTAATTGGAGAGGGTGTGTGGGGTGTGGGTGTGAGGTGTGTGTGGGGTTGGAGTGGGGAGGGGGGGGGTGATAACCATTATTGGCATGAGTATATGTTGTCTGGTATCTTGGTTGTCATATGCCGTTATGAATATTGTTATAATGCTGTGTGTATTAGCATATTCAATAATACATTTATCTTTATGTCTATTAAGTCCGAACTGGACAGATTAGACATGCCCGTCTTGTTTCTATATGGGCTGACATAATCAGCATCAGTGCGTCTAAAGTACCTACAACATCGAAAGCAGAGAAAACATTTTATTGTCAAATCTCTATATATTTTCATACTGAACATTTTTAGAAAACCGTTGAAACTGTCCAATGATATTAAATAGATTGTACAGTGTGTGTACACACAGGCAAATTGTAGCGCAAATAGGGTTCGCTCGCATTTTGGAAGACTGGTCATTTTCTCTTTGTTGCGCAACCCTATTTGCGCTACAATTTGCCTGTGGTGTACAGTATTATTAAGAGAACTGTTTCCTGTGTTGGTTCTTTAATTGTCGTTTCTTTGTTCCGTGAAATGTTTTGCATCATTGAATGTATTTACTTGGTTACGTTTTTGGATGATTTATGTATATGTAACACTTTATATCTTGTATAATGTTTAAATTAATATACATAACTATATAGTAATTCTTTTAATCATGCCGCGACACTTTTGATCAACAATCCAGTTCAAAATCATAAAGAAAATAGTATCATTTTTTCTTTTTGTCACAGGCTTATAATCCGACAATAAGACAATTATATCATGCATCATGGGGTATCTGGGCTTGCACGTGCACCTTAACGTGCCAAGTCTGAAATATTACCACGATTCAAGTATAATCGATCGCTCGCGCCTTGCTGTTGTGTTTGAAATATCGAATGATAGAAGCACGTTCCACTTAAAATGATTGTATTCATTCATGGTTGGGAAGCTGCAGAGTTTAATTTTAGAGATCCATTTCGTCCCTTGTTGATGTTGTGTTTACGTAAGCGGACTCTGAAAGTGTGCGTGAAGGGCTATTGTGTTTTGTTGTGATATGTGACACAGAAATGATCATGTAACGCATCACGTCACCGTGAGAAAAATTACTAGGCTGTAATGTTTGTCGACACATTTGTCAATGTGCGTGAAAGGCAACATTTTATGAAAGGATAACTGAGAAGGATAACACCAGCGATGACACCAGGTGTTCTGGGTTATAGTAAGCTCATCTTTCTCTGCTGGAGGCCCCACCACCATATAGCTGGAATAATACTGAGTGCGGCGTAAAACTAAACTTACTGGAAGCACCCACCAGTCACAAGAGCTTCATCAGTGTTGTTTGTTTGTTTGTTGTTTAACGCCGCACGGTCTGCAAATTATCGATTATGGAAAGTCATCACCATCATGAGCATCGATCTGCGCAACTGGGATACTATAACATGTGTCAACCAGTCAGCGAGCCTGACCATCAGATCCCGTTAGTCGCCTCTTACGACAAGCATGGGTTGCTGAAGAGGTGGTTTAAACCAGGATGTTTACGGGTTTGTTCATCAGCAGTAATTCAGTAAGGATGTTCGAAAGCTTCACAAGTATGGTGGAACATAGATTGCCGAGCCTCGGATGGTGAAACCCTCATTGCAAGGTTTAGATTAATCTAAATGTGTCTTTCCCTCACACACATATACACGCACGCACTCACGTAGGCATGCATGCATCAAGAACATCTGTTACTACGTAATACGTACTCTGTGTTTTAGTACAACCTATTGTGTTACCATTGTATGACCATTCCGATTGAGAAGTATATTTTTATGTGATCTAAAGGAACATGTGAATTCTTCAAGAACCATTCTATGAATGTCTATTGCATGAAAAGAACATAAATAAATGTCTTGCAGGAGCATATTATATTTTCTCGCATTTTCTTTCATTTATACATCAGTGGAAAAATGCACCTTTCCAAATAACTATCGTAGCTACGTCAGTCGTAAGACTGTGGTAATGTGTGTGAGCACAGGCAAACTGTAGCGCAAACAGGGTTGCGCATCAAAGAGAAAATGACCAGTCTTCGTATATGCGCGCGATACGAAGACTGATCATTTGGTCTTTGTTGCGCAACCCTGTTTGCGCTACAGTTTGCCTGTGGTGTGAGTTACGCTCGCCTTAGCGCTATGATCGCTTTATGGAACACGGTCCAAGTATTAAAACAAGTAAACCTGATTACTGGGAAACCGACTGCATTATGTATATCAACATTCATGTCAAACCAAAGTTCGGTTTGACATTTCCACGAACCCTACTCAATTGGTTCTGTCTTTAACTTCATCCACGTTGCCCTTGCATCAAAGTGAGACCCAAACTAATTAATCAAAACTCGGGTCAGTGGAACGGTTCTTTGCGCGTATGTAAATTCGCCTATGGGCATGTCATGGAACGATCACAGACCATGACAGATAACAGTGCACTGACGACATGACATTGTACTTTTACCCCTGCGGACGGGAGGGTCAGAACGCTGGTCAAATGATCAGCGGACACGTGGTCATATCTGCCAGCTTTTGCGTGCCTGCCTGTCAGACAGTCACGGATGTTTGTTTGGTTGGTGTGTGATGATTACTCAGCAATATCCCGGTCTGTAAATAATCGAGTCTTGACCAAACAATCCAGTGATCAACAGCATCCGCATCTATCTACGATGAGATAAGATGACGTGTCAATCAGGTCAGCGAATCTGACCACCCGATCCCGTTAGTCGCCTCTTACGACAAGCATGGGTTGCTGAAGATCAATTCAAGCCCGGATCTTCACGGGTCGACGGATATTTAATCACAGTAAGTTGGTTATCCTATTAAAAAATACGCATCTATAGAATAATGTAAAG